AAGGCGACGAGGAAATAGATTCAATAGCCTAAACCTCGTAACTCTCTCAAAGGTGATTTGAGCTTGATTGGTCTTCCTTATTCTGAGTTAATGGAAGCGAATTTGGACAAATGAGTTTCTGGCTTCCTTTTATTTCATAGTTCGTAGGTTATTTGATATGGGTTTCCTAATTTGGATGAAGAAGTAGCTTTTTGCATTAATTGCAAAGAGAAGTAAATTACTTTTGAATCAAACTTATCATGTTCGAAAATGACCATCTCACTTGAACAACCCGTATTAGAAATCCTCTCAGAATTCGTCGAACTTGGCCCACAGGGGTCATTTGTCATACCGATGACGGAAATGATGCTCTTATACCTTTAGGACGCTTTTGTTATGCTTACTGCACGTATGCATCATTGTATTACTATTTCGCATTATGCCTAACTGACACTGTTAGTGAATATCATTCAATCGCTAACATTTGTATCACATCAATACGATCCATCCTTGACACCTCAATGCGATTCCTTATGGCATGCCACATCGTACCTGGCCCTGCTCTGATCTCTACTTTCATGCTGACACCGACGCCAAACCCCAGTTTCTTGAATGAAACGAGAAATTTGGTTTTCGTTGCTTTCTTTCAACTTACAAGGGAAGGCACCTAACTCAGGTCGGCCTTTCGAAAAAAAAAACGCATATATCCGAAATCAGCTTGAGACGCTGATTCCAAATATGCTGTCCTTAGCTGCGAAGCATTACCCTGAAGCGAGTTATGACCTTTTTAGCATGTGTCACTGACATATAACTGATTATGGGAAAAAGGCTTGTAGAATGGAATTTGCTCAATAAAGTGATAAGAATTCGAAATAACATCAAAATGAATCATTGGCCTTGATAGGGTGTATTATGCAACTTAGATGATGATACCATAGCATCCGTAACACGGTCAACCCGCAAACTTCGCTCGGGAAAGAGCTCATAACTCGCTTTAGAGTAATGCTTCGCAGCTATGGACAGCAGATTTGAAATTAGCGTTTTGAGCTGATTCCGATGATATGTGTCGCTTTTCAGAAGACCAACCTGAGTTAGGTGACTTTCCCCGTTAGTCCTTTTCGCACGGTTTTTGTAAACTCGACAAAATTTGCTTTTTTTATAATGTAGACAACGTCGCGTTACCACTTTGAATGTAGCGGAATTTTTTGTGAAAACTTTGAGAAAGCGTTTTTTCTTCGTACTCTTTTGAGCGAGTACGCATCCATTTCTTCAAGCTTAGAAGTCTTGTTCAGAGTGATGAACAAAAGAAAGCTGACGACGTTGCCGGATACACAGATGAAAGAAATAAAAAAATTGAGATGCATCAAAAATTAAATTGTTGTGATTTTGACTTCATAGATACAAAATTTTGCTTTTAACTGAGAATTCATCTGTCTCTTCTGCTTAGCAATTACCACTTCCGAAATGTAATTGTCTTTCATACAATTGCAAAAAAATTTAGCTTTCCCTCGTTGACGCTCAGTTGTGGATTGGCAATTAGCGAAAATTTGCGATTTCAAAGCTCTTCCAGAAAAGAGATTTTTGACGTTATCATAGCTTTCCATCGTTTCAGCACTTCCTCCAGCTTTTGCTTTGCTATTGAGTTTGTTCTTTTATGGGGGGACAAGGATTCAAACAACCTTCACTTTCAAGGCACCATCTCTAGACTATCGAAGGTATGCTGCTAATCCACTTTGAAATGATGTCTGGTCTATAGATGACCATGCCGGATTTGACATGAAAACTTTGGTGCAACACTTCATGCAGCGTGTCGTTCTGCGGCGGCACTCAATGATTAACAGGCGAAAGCTCAAAGGCCAGTATGATATTACGCATTTACTTCCTATTCTGATCAAGGTTGGTGAGAGTTTTTCTGAAAAGGCGCTTCCAGGATTCATCTGTTGCAGTAACAACGCGATTCCTGGCTAGGACAATTTCGAGTGATTGCAGCGGTAGCTCCACATTTGATCTCTCAGTGTCTTCCATCAATCTCCAGTTTCTTTTACTACAACCATCTTATATACTAAATTATGCGCCACAAAATTCATCCGTACTAGGAAAAAATCAAAATTAGATGGGTTGACCATCTTAGTGAATTCAGAGGGTAGACTGAGACAGACTGCTATGTGGTGAAACAACGCTCAATTCCGGCTGCTATGACACATGCAACTGACTCAGAGGCAGCCCAGATGCAATTTCTTGCGACTGTTTACATTTTTGCGCGCTCACTTGCAGATAGATTCTTCTTGTATCATGCAAAGTGTTATCAGCGAGTTGTTCCACTGTTTGAAAGTTTTATGCCTATTGGTGTTGTCCCTTCATTTTTATATCGGACTTTTTTATGCTAATGGAACAAGCCAGCACTTAATGGAAAAGCCACCACTGCGTTCAGCATCAAACTCACTTCCTTCAATGTGTCTTCACATGCGCCGAGCATGAAAAAGAGCAAAATATTGGCTTTGTAGAGGAACCAGTGTGTCACCTTTGCTTGGCAGAGGCTCGCACTGGTTGTTCTATCTACATGCCACACTCATTCTCGCCAAGAGTGGCATTAAAACTCATCGCGGAATGCCCGATTTACGAATAAATCGTAACTACTCATTCCGGAAGCTTTTTCGTGCGAGACGCATTTTGCGCGGATGAAACTTTGGAAGATGAAGAACAAATGCAGATTTCACATTTTTCAAAAGTTTTTCATGGCTTAGTAATCGCTATAAAGATAATGTCCACCGTGATCTACATCTCTGTGCAAAAATCTATGCTCAGGTAATAACCTTGACAAATTGACATTTACGCAAACAATTCGTTTCAGCGCCGTTGTGGAGTTATGAACTTTCATAATTTTTTAAGCAAAGGTTTTTTCTTGCATATTTTGCTAAAATGTAACCATAACTGTGCAAAAGTGGTAATATGAACCCATTTGCAAGCCAGAGGCCAAGTGGATCCTTTTGATGCGCAGTCTCTGTGGTATCCATTGTATGGCTCTGCTAGTGCGTTTGCCTGGTGAATCTAGATGTTGGCAGTTGAGTTGTTCGAAAAAAGTGCGGCTTAAAACCTTGCTGCGACTTGTTTCTTGAATTTTGTTACAGACAGACAGAACACACAAAACACGTGAACACCCTTAGCCCGTTATCGTAAGTCATGATTCATAAGCTGTCCATGACATTGTTGCAGCTGCAGCGGCTCGGATCCGCGTGGCCTCTCTCTCGTGCCTTACGCCGTGATCGCAAATGTTGTTTCACTTCATTTTCCATGCCTGCGCGATAATTGAAGGCAAGGGGAATGGAATTTACGTTGCGAACAACGAAATCCTAAGGCTACCGCGAGAGTGCCGGAGCTATGCCAGCGCTGCGCCGGCGCGAGCCAGCTGCGCGCTGGCACAATGCTATCGATTCGCTCCTTGTATTGATCGAAAACCGCGGTCCCGACGCGAGTTGCGATCAATGCAGGGTGCACGCACCTGGCAAGGAAAAACAGAACTTTGCGTTTTTGTCCCTCCTTTCACCTTTTTTTTCTTTTTCTTCTCTCCGCGTTCTTATTTGTCGCCTTTTTCCTCTCTCTGTTGTTTCAAGTTGTTTTTGTTTCAGGAAACGCTTCCTCATCAGTGTTTTTGGGTACTTTTCCGTTATCCAGACTCATTTTCTCAAAAGGCTCTTTTATGATACGTTGTTTAGTCTGAGAATAATTTCTCATAGATTCCACGAGAACTGCCTCCTTGCCACGTGTCACAAAAAAGTTGACACGTTTTGGTCTTTGACATGAATCATTTCCTGTGAGGTAAAAGAGAATTTGTGATTACCAAAGCTGCTCAATCGTTTTAATAAAAGCAAAACAATCATAAATTTATTACAGGGAGAGGATACTTAGTCGAAAGCACCAATCCAGATTTTACATATATCATCTTAAAGCGCTTGAAACGCTGATTCCAAATCTGCAGTTTCTAGCTGTGGAGCGGTTTTATAGAGGTAGTTATGAGAGGTGTTTCCTCTGGGGTTGAGGCGCCCTCCACCAGGTCTCCCCCTACCTATGAGCACTGTAGAGGAGTACCAACTGGTGGCAACTGACCTAGTGGTAAGTGACGTGCTTAATAAAGAGTGTCAAGGTTTTAATCCCCTTCGCATGCTAAATTGAACTTCTAAATGGCTTTAGAGCCCTAAAGCATGAAACTTCTGACGATGTTGATACTAATCAAAGTTAGAAGTGTTAGAAAAATCAAAGTAATATGCGTATTATAATCTTTACTGTAATGTTCCAAGCTACCATTAGGTCAGTTGCCATCAGCTGATACTCCTCTACAGTGCTCACAGATAAGGAGAGACCGCTGGAGGGCGCCTAAACCCCAGAGCAGAACACCCTTCATAACTTCTTCTACAAAACCGCTCCGCAGCTAAAAACTGCAAATTTGGAATCAGCGTTTCAAGCGCTTCAAGATGATATATGTCTCATCTGGATTGGTGCTTTCGACTAAGTATCCTTTCCTTGTTAGGACATATTGCTTGCCTTCACCAGTGTCAAAAATGTCTTTATCTTCAAACATTTTTCGCCGTTAGTCAGAAAAGACTATAAATGATAGATAGCTTGATGGTCCTTTGCGCTTCTTGTTCCGTCTCTTAAAAGACGGAATCCTAGCGCACTTCTCTATTCTGAGCAAGTCTAATCAGTTCATCGATCATAGTATGTTTGTTATGACGATGTTCACTTTGACACTGTTTGGTCGAAATGAGGTCAAAATTGGCTAAAATATAAAATGAACTTATGTCGTTAAGTAGGGTGACATAAACTCTTGGTAAATCCTGTTAAACATGTATATGACATCAAATTTTTTTGACACGTGGAAGAAGGTTGACACTCCTTCCTGTGAAGCTGGGACCAAATGAGGTACAAGAATACTCACTACGTTTGCATCTCTCTTTCTAAATCAGCTCTTTAGCATTTCCAATGTTTTTTTCCTAAAGTGGCCCTTTCCAGAACTTTTATGTGAAATTTGCTGATGAGTTGGTTTTCAACCTACACCTACACATTTGAAGACTTCAAGCATATAGGTGTGAGTTTTGAAAAACATGAAGTTGGACGCGGCTCTGACGTAGGTTTCTTATAGGGAAGTATCTTATCGTTTCAATGATCGCCTGCTCATGTTTTGGCGGTTTCACTCTTAGTTAAGAGGATTTTTACCCGTTTCTTATCTTAGAGAGCTTTGAGCTTCAATCACATATCTAACGCTCCGTCAAAAAAAAGTAAAAACCAAACCAAAAGGATAGAGGGCGTTTCAGATGCGACGTGTTTTTATAAACTGTTTATCGGTTCCTTTTACTTTGTTTGCCAATAGGGATTTGGCTGTCGTTAGGCTCGAAAGCATCCTACAAGGGTTTGATGACCAATTTTTTTGTTATGCCTTGTTTTGCCCCTTCACAGTAATAGAGATTGATTAAATGCTACTTCGTGGCTGGCAGCAGACGATGGCCTGATACCACAACGTAGTTGACAACGTAGTTGTGTAGCTAGCTTTTGTTATGCTTGTTTTGCCTCTTTAGCCACTTCGTGGCTGGCAGCAGACGATTGTCTGATATCACTGCATAGTTGGGTAGGTAGATGCATTTCGATCATAACAAAAATAAAAATCGGCGTAACAAATGTGTGAGCAGCGCCCAAGAGCGAAGCAGGTTAAGAACAAGCTCAGTCAAAAACGTCTCAAAAAATTTCGAGAATCTTAACAGCAATGTTATACGAAAAGATCTAATCACTTTTTCCTTGAAAACAGGTGCTTTTATCTGAATTTTCTGTCGACTCAGATCGTGAAAACTCAACACCAAAGCAGAAGCATATGGGCACTTAGGGTGCGAATAATAGCGCTGACGTTTTTCCCTGGCTTGCTTTTCTAAAGCGAAACTTTTGAGATGCAACTACGTGGCCGGCGGTTAACGGAATTGTGTGGATGAGCATGAAAATAGCTTAATTGGAAATGCAAAAGATCCATGACCCACTACTTTTCTTCATATAAAGAGATTCCACCACAAATGCAAGCGTCGGTAAAAGCGTCTGGAACCACTTGCCCTAAAAAAGTGCTGGCACGAGAGCGTTTCCTGAAACATCGAGGAACAATGGAGAGGAAAGGGACGAAAGAGAACGCGGAGAGGAGAGAAAGACACGAAATAGCGAAAAAACGAAGTTCTGGGACTCTGCCCAGGTGGACGCACCCTGCATGGTGAAATCGCTTCGAAACCATTGGCAGCGCTGTGCCGGCGCGGCGCTAACTCAGCATTGGCTCGGCGCCGGCACTCTGGCTGAAGCTTAACCGCGAGAGCTGACATTTGAGTTAGGGCGCTTTGAATAATGTATGGTGAGCTTTCTTGATACGAAAACACAATGGGGCAGACGACTGCTAATCAGAAGTGCGGGCAGCTTTAGTTAGAGGTGGGACGAAGTGGTGACTTTTATAGTATACTCACTTATACTTTTTATAGCACTTTTATAGTATTACATTAGAAAGGACCGTTTAGCGTCAACTCGCTGATTCAATGCGAGAGCAGTTCAGGAGTAATTTTTGCTGTGCCCAACTATTAGGGCTAGGGATGTGCTGGAGTTAAACTTGGCTTCGTTATTGGTAAAAAAAGCAATGGGGTATTGTATTAGGTTGTTGCAAAAATAATGTCCGTTTCGCAAATTTTCAATTTGGAGGGCTATAACTTCGTTCAGTCTTCATATTTTTGAATGCAGTCAAGACCTTCAGAAACAGCAAACCTTTCGTAATTTAGCGCGCGCCTACTCATATAGATAGGGCAGTTGGGAAGAAAACTACGCGTCAAAAAGCTAAAAGTTTTTTTCTCGGAAACCTCTTCTTTAAGAGCTTACAACTCCCTTCAAGTTTTGTTCGTATGGCTGGCAATCAGCTTATTTTGTAGCAGCAGACCAAGAGTTTATGAGGGTATAGAAAAGACTCCGACGAAGGAGTTCTGCGAAAAGAAAAGACAAAAATTCAAAAAAGTTCACTTTTCTAAGCCTACTTGTTGTAGGCTTATAAGTGTCAAATTGGAAAAAACTTGAATTTCTTCGCGCAGTGAACAGCTGAGTTTCTCTTCGAATATTGTAGTTGAGGCGTGTTAATTTCAAGTTTACAGAAATGGGCGAAGCTTTGACGATTGTTTTAATTATGAGAAATTTCTGATCCATAGAATGCCAGCAGTGAGTATCTCTTTCGAGGCGTCCATTTCTCAGTCCAGATATCTCCAAAAATCCACATAAGCACGCTGTAGATAAACAATCTTCATCCAATAGAAATGCTATGTTTTCAGAAGAATTCGTTCATTTGCGCCTAATTGTGGCCACAGAAACTCAAGCATCGAAATTTCAATTTTGAGTGCAGTTATGCGAGGTGCTGGTGAAATTCTCACAGATGAGGATAGCAGCCTATTTCCATTATCGTTAGAAAGTACATAAAGAGGGCTTTCCAATGATATGCAAATTCTGTATCGAAAAAGAAAGTTTGATAAAAAAAAAAGTTGTTTGAAATATAGGCCTAGAAAAACGGACATTATTTTTGCAACAACCTAATAAAACATTTTCAACGTGAGGCACTTGACGAGCATGCTTGCTTCGCTATCAAGTTATTGCATAACTGGGTTCCTTTAGGACGCAGGACGCAGCAGCCGGCGTGCGCCGCTGCAGTCGCAGTGAAAATATAAGCTCGCTCGCTGTGAAGGAACGCTCTCGGAGAATACGAACGTGCACAAATATAGATATACATCCATAATTGGGGAAGCTGGGCTGCCGTGAGCATATATATATACTTTCACTGCGATTGCAGCTGCGCACACCGCAGCACGCTGCTTTCTGCGGCGTCTCCAAAAAGGTTTTTTTTCTTGAATAGTTTGTTTCAGTGCACAGCCGATCACATAACACCAAGTTGACTCTCACTCTCATCTATTCTATGATTAAGAGGCTCGATACTCACTTTACCACCTGTCTAGACAAGGTTGAACTTGTTCTTTCCGGTTTCTGTGTAGCAAATATTCCTTGATGAAATAGATTATAGGGCATTCGACAAATCGTGACGATGACGCGACCGCGCGCGACACGCACGCATACCCGTCAACGGCCACGTTTTTGGTTCTAACCTCTACTCGGATGGTTTTTCTACTTCAACATAACATGATAGCATTAAGACACTGGAAGTGACTGAGCTGAGAGTTGAGATGATACCCTTCAGTATGAGTACTTTCTGCTCCTGTAGGCGCAAAGACCGCAGTCAAATCCGTCTTCACAATTTTATGAATGACCTATACAAGCATGAATTTGCTATAGGGCTCCATGTGTTCGCGAGTGTGCGAGAATGAGTTTGCGGCCATCGCACCCGCAGGATGCTTTCACTTCTCAAGATTGTTTCAGGTAGTTGGAGCCAACATCTAATAGCAGAAAGCGATTGAAAGAAAAAGACGACTGAGAGAGCTCAATGCGCGTGCAATGGCCGCGAATTTATGACTCCAGCGATCACGCAGAGTATAGATACACGATGACTTGCGAAATATTAAATCAAGCTTGTTCGGATAATATGTGCAAAGCAGTTTCGAGTTTCTTGGTCTTAGAATAGATGATACGCGCATTTCTGTGAACATTATTAATTATATAATCTTGAAAACTTCAATGAAATAGTATCTCTTTGCACTTTAAGCTTACTATTATAATTTGAGCGCTTTCTTGGCCGCATGAGCTGGCCTTATAGCATAATTTTTGAGAAGTTCACATACTCTTTATACCTTTTGGCGAAGACTCTTCCATGATGATCACAGAAAAAAGTCAAAGTTTTTTTCTTTCACGTTCTGCTTTTACATGTATGAAAATTCATCCTTAACACATCGCGCCCACTACAGCTTCCTGGTCCCGGCTTGATACTCGACTTAAACAGTCTGTTCCTTTGAATTTTCATTTCTATTTTACAAGGAAAATTCTCAAATTTCAGTGGCAGATTGGAATGAAAGTATAATATTGTGTGCGCTCTGGTGAGCTGATTCCAAATTAAACTTTTTTGCTGAGAAGTTCGCTAGAATAGTTAGAAGATTGAAAGTGTAAATTCGTGAGGTTCTAATACAAAATGTGCTTTAGAATCCACCTGGAGGGCGTATTTGGCATGACGGTGATTGTACTGACTACAAGGAAGTCACGCATCCACCGGAAAAATACTCCATATAAAGCTGTACTTCTCGTTGTCTCTCTGACTGTCTGCCTGTCTGTCTGTTTGTCCGATTAGAAAATTCCATCATCGAACAGATCCGGGCCAAATTTTGCACACATGCGCTTAGGGACGGGACTTGTGTCGTAAGATACTTTCGTCATAGATCTTCCTTGCGAAATTTGAGTCACGGGGATGGGAGTTGACAGAGAGAGGTATATAGGTGAGCATGCTGATTACGAATACAATAATCGTTTGCAAAAAGACCCATACTTTGATTGATTTTATCGATGTTTTGCAAACTTTGATTGATTGGGCTGAGACCCCGTACGAGGAGTAAGCGAGCATGACGACTGCGAACACGGGGAACAAGAAGCTGCCATATAGAAGTGGGACAGGAACAGAGAAATGTTGAAGTGGGAAGTAGTTAGTACTCTCATGTGATGTTAACGGGACCGGGAGAAGCCGCTATCCCAGTCAGCCGATAAGTACTTTTGATCAACTAATTCTCTAAGGTGTAACTAATGAATGTTCGCCATCTTTGCAGTTCATGCTCAAAACTTCTTCTAAAGAACCGCTCAGCAGAAGGTTGAACTTGAAATCATAACAAGGATATGGATTCTGTTCCAAATTGTCATTCTTGAGATCCTGCTATCGTCATATTTGCTCCCACATCTCTTGCTCCCACATTCGCCACACGCTATGGTAAGGAACCCCTCAAGCAACAAGTTCTTTAGGGCCCACTTTGAAAGAGAAGCAAAACGCAGTTTTTAATCCTTTGAATGCGCCGCGTCTAACGTCTTCCCTCTCGTAAAATGAAAACCTCTATGTCGGTTCAGAGAAAGAATATCGTCTGCTCGTGCTCGACTAGGAATTGCCGTTTGACAAAGTAAATATGGTCCCCTCCACAGATCGTGCTACCCTTGGTCTGCGTCTCAGACCTGCCAGTGTGGCTAACATGTTGGCAGCGTGGCAACAACATGTTTGCAACATGCCACAACATGTTGGCAGAACATTTTGGCCACGCCAACATGTTGCTGCCAACGTTGCCGATATGTTAGTCACACGTGGCACGTCCGCAACGCACCAAGGGTAGCACGATCTGTGGTAGTTTTTTTTTTAGCGAGATGCGAAAATGACATCTGGAAAGGTTTGACAAGTCTAACTTGTTCAGACTTCCGCAACGCTCGTCTAATCCGTGGCAAGCGATAAGACGATGCATCACTGTAATTCACGGAGGGAGATGGTCTTTTCGCACGGGCGGTCTTGTGGCGACAAAGTAAAGTCAGAATCAGAGTCCGAATCAAGTCAGAATCAGAGCGGCGTCTTCAACGCCGCTCTGATTCTGACTTGTCTTAACACGTCACGCACGCTGCAAACCTTTCCTCCCTCCCCCTAGGCAAAAGCCGCCGCAGTTTGTGTCGCTCGCGGCGGTGGTCCTGTGTGGAGCGTTCTACATCCCTCACAGAGTTCATTATTTCTTTCCTTGGGCTGCACAATATTTGTTTACATGACGTCATGCAGGAGATTAGGTATCTAGTTGTTTTTTTTTACATCTACAAATAAAACTGGCATCTTATATCGCTCATCTTTGAACCGCTTGATTTCCACTTTTTGCACGAAATTCATACTATCTGTTGTGCGCATCGTTTTACAGGTACCAAGGATGAGACTGCTGCCGGCGAAAACGAAAGTCAATGGAGATCTGATAGTGCAGACGAGTACGCTTGCGAGAGAGCTGAAAACAACGCATTTTGCAGAAATGCTTTCTGACTCATTGGAAACGTGGAAGGAACTCGACGTAGAAGTCGTGCATATCAGAATCGAACTGCAGGTTTCACAACTTTTTTTGCATTTCTTTAATATGAGACTAGAGTGTCCAGTGAAGTTTACCTTTTCATGTCGGCAATCGCTTAAATGGAGGTAGTTCATGTCCACTGATTTGAATCTTTCTTACCACGCTCATGAATTCATTAGTCAGAAATTTACAAGGCAAAAAAATCCATCCGCTTTGGAAAGGAAGTGTAGCGAAGCTAAACGAAAGAGACAAGTGAGAGCATGGCCGTGTACATCAACGGACCGATGGGTTAGCCAGCACTGGGTTCAGCGGGTTTACGAACTCACTAGGATCAGATCATTCTCGCTGACCTAGTATATGAGATACATGATGTCAAATAAGTAATTGATCGTCATATTTCTTTAATTTGCTATTATACAAGGATGAAGCGAGCCAATGTAAAAAAAAATTCAAATCATTCGCGGTATAACCGATCTCAATTCATTTACCGCCATGATCCAAAATTAAAAATCTGATTTGAAAAATAGAGCTTTTGATGGACATTTAGGATTCATTTCTCGTGCCGCTTTTAGCAGAACGAGGGTTCAAGTTCTCTTTTGTGACCACTGATGAAGTGACAATGTCGAAATGGTTGCCGAATAGTGTATCTCCACTTGTACCGTGGGTTGCAAGTCTGGTTCAATTAGGCATTGGAATTAATGAAGCCCTTCTAGAAATAGATATTTTCAGACTTGGATGCAATTACCATAGCGTTGCGTGTTTGGTCGTGGATGAGTTGGGTCGCATTTTGATGATTAAGGAATTGAAACGGTGAGTTGTTATGGACATGGTTAAAAAACGTCGAATGTGAAAAAACATAGTTTGACGTAAAGCCTTGAATGTCAAACAAATGCGAGCTTTCACATACATGGCTTTTCATGGCAGCCTGAGAAGTTTTGCAGGGGGGGGGGGGGCTTAGCTCAGAATAATTCAGGAGAGACGTTAGCCACGTCCTCCAAAAAATTTTTTGCTAACCCCAAAATTTCATAAAAAGAAGGCTGGCGGCGGTCATGCCCAGAAAATTATTCTAAGGAGATTAACGGAATATCTGGAAAATCCTAAAAAAATTTTTACTCATTTGCAAACGCAATTCATTTTTGCAGTTTCATGACTCATGTTTAGTTCCAAAAATAGCGAACCATTCTGATGGTGGTGGTGAGGGGGGGGGGGAGGGGGAAGAAGGCGCGAATGCTATTGAACGGTACGCAAAGCATTGATTTGTTTAGCTATTTTGCGACAATGTCATATTCTTAACTTTTCGAACCAAGCAAGAGGACCCATCTGTAAATCACATCTACTGAGTCGCTATAGAATAGATTGCTTTATTAAAGGCATTGTCCAGGTCAATTGGGAGGGGGAGGGATGGGGATTTTGACGGAGTGTGGGAGCACGGCTCCTGACTAGTGCAACAGCTCAAGTCCGATCAGAAAAAGGTGGATTCTGAAGCGAGAAAATCGCTTCGGAAAAAAGGGCGTCTGCCAATCCTAAATCCTTGACAAGTTTTGATGTGGCGAATGCTGCAGATCTGATGTATTAGCCATGTCAAAACCTTTCAAGGAGGCGGGATTGGCGGACCGCCCTTTTTCCGAAGCGATTTTTTTCGCTTCACAATCCACTTTTTTTTATCTGATGTTAATTGTCGCATTAGTCAGGAGCCGTGCTCTCGCACTGCGTCAAAATTCCACCATCCCTCAGTTGACCTGGACAATGCTTCCTGAGCATACGCAAAATGATAAAATCGCACTCGGTGAAGTGAGAAAGCAATGATTTCGCACTGCGACTGATTCGTTATATTCACAAGATGGTCCCAGTTTTGACAAAAAAAGCAATAAGAGTCAGAAGCGATGGTTCGTCCGGGATTTGCTCGAAGTTGCAAAATTCGATATGAAAAAGTGACTCTTGCTACATATCAATCTTCTGATAGGACTTCAAGCATGTCGGAAGACTGAAGCTGAGCTTTTTGAGGTATTTCAAGCACTCTGCTAGCATTTGGAGGAAAATTCTTAAAAAGGATTATTTCTTGTGTTTATGTGAACATCTTCAAGAAATGGTAGCGGAAACTTTCCCACCTTGCATGCACACCCTTCGAGTTTATGCAAAACAATTGATATTTTTACTCCAATGCATCAATGTCGTGATCCATTAACTAAGACAAGCAGTTTAGCATCAGCATGGGATGGAAATTTCCTGGTGGAAAAGCTGAAAATCGGGAGAAGATATTTCAAACCGCAAAAAGAAAGGTTTTGGAAGAGACTGGAGTGCATGCCATACCTGAAGCTATCATTTCGTTGAGGTACTCATTACCTCATCTCCTATTGTGTCTTTTTCCGTCGCAGTGTCTGTTTTAGTCACAAAGCTGCTCTGCATTACTCCAACACCGGCACATTCTTCTTCTGTTGTTTGATGCATAGTAAGGATGGCGAGGAACAAAACGAACCCGAGCATCCTCATGAATACGTTGTGTCTTGGTTCACAAGGTGCGTCTCCCTTTGACTATTTTTTGATCAAAAATAACAAAAAAATTTTGAGAGAAGAGTTGCGATCTCTCGACAAAGAAGAGTTCTTTGATCATCATCGCGATATATTCGTAGAATACGATAAATGGATGGATTCCAATGCCGACAAACCTTTCGCTGCCTCTAATAATGGATGGAAAATTTCATCGCTATTCCTTTTTTCTAATGTCTGAAAATCTCTCTGTGTTCTACTGCTTTGACTTCATTCAGTTTTCAGAATTCTTCAGGAGATGCTAATTAATTGGTGCTATTAGTTGTAACTCGAAGCAATAGACTTTTTTGTAAAATTTTCAGTGTAATTTGTGTGCACTCTACACTGCTTTGTCACATCCGCTGAGTAAGACTGAATAATCACTGATCACCATACGATGAATCGCCAACTCTGACTTACAGAAGGTCTAAGGTAGTGCTTATAGGATTCTCGACACAAAGATCTTTTACCTTTGTATGTGCATTCTTGCGCATGTGGTGAGAATTTCATCAATAATCACATAATCCGACTCTATTGAAGGATTTTGACGTACAGAAGGGACTTTATGCGTATGCGGTCGTGGGGCTGGAATTAATGTCAAAAGATTATATGCCAAAATGAGAAGACACTCTAGACAGTGTTTTTTAATGACAGCACCAAGCAGAATGGTTTATTCTAGCTCTAAATCACAACTTAAACTTTAAACCTTCTTAGATAAATAGAACATGTATGAGAAAAAAAAAGGCGACAACTATATATAGACTATCTCAATGTGAGCGTCACAGCTCAGCTCGTCGTTCCTTCGCGGCCGCCTTGCTCAGGCCTTGTGCCGCGTTCGCACACGTGCCCTCCAGTCGCTTAACACATTGATGACAATGTGACCCCCATGGTGGGTCATGGCTTGAATCAATTGAAATGATACTATTTTGGTAGAGAATTGTTTCAGAAGTTTTCTTACGCTCTTCCCTTAGAAACCACTTCCCCACTTCCCCGCTTTTCGGCTGCTTTTTAGAATTACCGTAAATACCGCGTAAATGACGATATGCGCGATTTTAGCTGTAATTTTTCAACATCTTCGTTAAAGGCCTTGTCATAAGACAGATAATCAAATCCGCGTTGTCGTCAACGTGCTGAAGCCCCGTTTGCTGCGAAGAGTGGGAATATGCCTAGAGGGGGCGTGATTATGGCGCTAGGCCCGAGAGAGGTGAAAAACGAACAGCCAGAATGACACTCACATTGAGACAGCCTATACAATTAGGGAAACTAATGCAATAAATTCGATAAATATGAATTAAATCCAATAACTGAATTAAGGCAGAGGGATCAAAAATTACTAGATATCATGTACTCGGCACAAGAGGAGGTATGAAACTTTGGTATAAAAAAACTCTATTTACTTACAAACTATGCGTTTGCTGTTATTACTCCAATTTCACGCGTACAAGGCGCAGGATATTATTTTAGAAATCAGCCAGCCCAAATGCGTCAAAGGACTTCGTGTCCAATCAGCTCTGTAGCTTGATGCGTATTTCTTACGAGAATCATGCGGCATAAAGATCGCTTTTCGAAACATAGCGAAGCTTCTGATCGGCTGGCTTAGAAATTTGGTAAAGGTGTGCCTTGCACGCGTGAAATTAGGGTACTCTGATGAAAGATGTGATCAACGAAATACGCACGCCATAAGGTTGATGTCAGTGTTGATGCTTCTGATTCCGCATGCAAAGTGAGACGCAACTTTCATTGCCTGAAAAAAGGAGGCCAACTGTTTACTGCTCCTATTAAAACGCTAAGAACTTACTGCAAACATCTTGACTTTGTCGATGCTTACAGTAAGTTTTAGTGCCTTTTTGATGGCATACTTTTTCAATTCAGCAAGATCAACCCAGTTGTTGTTTGAGGAATTCTCCATGATAACATGTAGGACCGTAACACCTACCAGTTGACAAAGCAAGCGTTAATTCTGATGAAACTCGAAAAATGCTTGTGGTGTAGAAATGCTAAGCTTATACCATTGTAAATCCAAAGCACAGTCTATGAATAACTAACTTTTGCCAAAAGCGAGGAGCTGCCTGTAGTTATGATTGTTAAATACTTCTTCAGTCAGCTCTTTCAGCCCATAATAACGCATGAACACCGAAGAACTACTACGTTGGAAGTAAATCTGCACCAGATTTTCAAAAATGTTTTAGCTGATACAACTCAAGGTAGATATCTCCAAATGCTTGAAGCAAAAATTCTTGTTGTCATGTTGTGACAAAAGTCGATAAAGGCAAACACTTAAATCGTACTTCTTGAATTTCGCTATCCAAAAATGCTAAAGTGCACTTTACTTGAAATTTGGTTTAAGTCCATGATTCACACTCTGACTAAGGTAAATTTATATCAGCTAGAGGCAGCCCGGCACACTGGAGCCGGGTCAAGCCAAGTTGAACATTGTACTCCACCATCGTGATCAAAACTGTGGTGGAAGTCCTAGCAGTGGCTATCATTTAGTGCTGGGCAAAAAGAAACGTGATTCGATAGTTAAAGGATATCGATAGTTTATTCCATTTACTTTCTGAAAATTCTTTGCAGTAGCGTGAGAGAAGGAAAGCAACAGAAGTCAGGTTTGGTCTGAGATTATGGCTTTAAACACGGGCTTTGAAATTTTTTCTGGAAAGCCCTAAAATATTCCGATTTGCGATTTTTTCATTTGAAATCATATAACTTTTTTCCAAATTAACAATTCTGCACAAATTGAATTTTGTTGAATCAAACGAGTTTATGGTTATCATAAGCATGTATGCCATGTAAGGAAGGCAAGCGAGAGAGGAGAGAAAATTTTTCGAATTTTGCATGGTTTTCTTCAAAACTGCCCATTGACTTACTAATGCTTCCATATGAGGATGAACAGACATACATATTTGGCTGCCATCATTAAGTAGCCTATACTTCGGGGTTCTTTTGCGGTTAGAGAAATAGAGTTATCTTTGCTGCATAGAAATGTTGGGAGCAAATCAAAAAACCCCATTATTTGAGCCCTCTCCGAGTGCGAAAATATGCCGACTTTCTAATATTTGCTTTTTTTGCTTTTTTGTTTCTTGCAACTTTGCTTCGGCGCTTAAAATTTCATCGCATGAAAGATTCGCCAAGCATCAGTAAGCACTCGAAAGAGAAAGAAAAGTACTTCTAGATGATGGTTATGACAATGCCATAAGATGAATACCCTAAGAAATAGCTGCGTTAAAACGAGGCAAGCGAAAATCGGACAGAACTTTTGAAACAGCCTAGTACTTACCTTGCCACTTCAAATCATGTCTCAACATGGTGATAAACTGCATATCTCAAGTGAAAAATGCCTTACTTTTGTAAACTCTGTGTTCATAGTTTTATTCCAGTACGTAATTGTTTTCATAGCGACCTTGAGGAAAGTCTTATCGTTGGTATCGCTACTGCAAAAAATAACAGTGGTATAAAACGTTATTACCATACCATAAACATACTTGTATAAGCGAGCCAAAATGCGTCCGTCGATCCTTTTTGAACGATCCAAGAATTCTTGCACCTCATCCGCTAAGTGGCATACATATTTCTGACAAAGAAAAGGTAAATGAACTTACAGGCTTTATAAGAATGCGACTAACCAGATTTTTCCTATAACGGTTAAACGGAATTCTTTCCATTTGTAGTAGTTTGGTAAACGGCATTGCCCAGTTTTTTGGAAAATTTCTTCCCTCGCAGATTTCTGCAGAAGAGTGGCTGAAGACTGAGAGAAACTGAAAATAAGTTGATGTTTGTTTCATGAAGTAGATTGACTTACAATCAGGACGTAAGGGTAGTCCAGCATGTTTCTTGTGTTTGATTACAACAAATGCCTTTTATTCTAGGCTGGATTGACGCCCACACCAGAAGAGCTAAAGTTTAATTCACATCGGCAAAGCCTTTGAATACAATTTGTTGCACTTTATCTGTTGTTTTCTGCAGCGATCTGACGTGAGATTTGCATGGCTGTTTATTTCCCGCAGAGTGCACTTCTGAATGTTGTAGCTGCTGGTAAGCGTTAAACTGACGGCTTCGACCATAAATGCACATCAAATTCCTAGTTTCGCAAATAAAAATATCTTAAAAATATTCGTCTACCTCTAAAACCAACATATACTTGCATGGTATGCTGAGGCTCAATCAAATCTGCATGCTATCTGTAATAATTAAGAGTTTAAAAGCACTCGAGCCCTCACTGAATTATTACACGATGCCAATGTTCAAGGGTAGGGAGTTATTTGAACTAATCAAGTTTTGAGCCTGCTTCATGTGGAACAACTACTTATTTATATTCTCGACCAGAGATTAGAGCTATATCTATAGAGAATGCTTGCTTCTTCATTTCTGACAATGCACACTCAGAGCAGCGCACAAAAGTGTAGGCTGCTGCATGACGAAGACGCATTATCTCTGAGCGCGAACGCGGTTCGTTAGCCGTAGAGCGCATGAGACGCAGGATTTACAACGGTGAAGATACTCGCGCGCAGCGCTCGCGCCAGCTCAACTACTACTTAACTAATTTAAAGGTATGGGCCCAACGGCACGGTGGTCCTTGACTGGGGTTGTTCGATTTACTGTGTGTGTACTTTTTTTTTTCTCTTGTTGTTTTTGTAAGGAACGCCATAGAGCGTATGAATAAATAAATAAATAAATAAATAAACTAATACAGCTTCTGCGCTTTCGTCAGGCCCCCGCCAGAGTGCCGAAGCCACGCCAGCGCTACGCCGGTGCCGAGTCAGTGTTTCGATCGATACACGTGTATTTCGTTGGGGCGGGGCTAGCTGACCTAGTTCTCAGCCAGGGCCGCGCCTCAACAAAATACACGTGTATCGATCGAAACGCTGGCTCGGCACCGGCGTAGCGCTGGCGTGGCTTCGGCACTCTGGCGGGGGCCTCATGTAGCAGCCTTTGAGTGTCCGCCAACGATGTGACCACGAATGCGATTGGTGAAGCAATCACCTTGTTATATAGGTTACTGCAAGACGACGGCGCAAAACCTCAGGCTCCAAGTGCTTCTGTTAGCCGCAGAGAGTATGAGGAGCGCGGTTACAACGGCGGAAGTACGCAAGCGCCGCGCGCCCGCTTATCTTATACTGTTTTGCGCCTTCGTTCGGCAATAGCTCTTCACTCCCTTCTGCAGTACACAGTAGCGCACAACTCTAACCCGTTTTGGCCTGATTCCGATATAGACTGTAGATCACGAAAGCTGTTCTTACGCGTGCCACTGTATCTGACACAGTTCTGAACGAGAGTATTAACCAATGTTGCACTTTCATATTGCTTTCATATTGCAGATGAATTAACTTCCGAAGCTGATTGTGGCCGGGCAGCGATGTTACAAATTGAATGGTTTCAATCTGTTCATTACAAAGGTAAAAGTAAGTACTTTGTTCGACATTTCGCACAAACAACGTCAAGCTGAGGGCGTAAAATATTTGTCAAAATCAAAGTAACCTTGTTTTAGTCGAAGCATAAAGCCAGTGTATGCTGGCGGATAGAGTACTCTAGTTAGGACTTCACATGGAAAACTGCAGGACTGAACAATTACAGCGGAAGCGGCCCTCAGATATGAATATAGTATGCGGCAACTGCGTCACGTTCGAGTACAGAAGGCAATACAAGGAACACATTTGCTGAAGCTGTTCTACAGGGTGAGGCAAAAGTCTGGGAGCCGAATTAGCAGTGTTGTGAGTCACGAAACAACTGATGATTTTGATTCCAAATTTGTGCCACATACTATTGCGGTCATTCTCTACAGATCACACCTTACCTAGCTGAAAGTGCTTGCCATATTTTTTTGTAAGAGTTGGATTTCTAGAACAAGTGCTTCTGCAGAGCAACAAAATCAAAATTCTAAGTATTCACAATTTATTTCGTAGTTAAAGCTACGGTAGATATTGTACAACACTTCTATGCATAAAATGTAGAGGGGGCTTTATCACATCGTGGTAAGTTGCGTTTGTCAGGAACTATTCTTTCGAAAATGCAAAATGATAATTTACAAATAACATCTGCGTGCCAGACGCAGCAGGTGCTGAGCTTCAGGCTATATTCTTTCCATGAGTCTTCTGTATAAGCATCTATTAAAATTCGATCGATGGAGCAATTTTAATGCTTTTTAGATTTTGATTTTTCGCTCCCGTTAGCGCAATCGCATTCAAATTTCTAGGGGGGCGGACGTTAGGTACCCAGCTGAGGTCTGGGCTTTAGGTACCCATTCATCAGTGGTATACACTAAGCCACGCCCCTTGGTTGCTTCAACAGCGGGTACCTAACGATACACTAAATCCTAGCTGCTAGAACAGCTTACCTAGCCGCTAAAATGCTGGCGCTTGCGACCCACAGAAAAAAGATGGGAAATAAAAAACTGCGCGAATGAAAGCGCAAGTTTGTAAACAACGTTTTTTCATTGCTTCTTTTTTATCAACTGGAAACCCAGAAATACGGTGATTAAAGTCAAAACAGGGTAAAGCTTTTATGATCTAATCTAACCGATAACGTCAGCGGTCAAAAAAGAAAACGTTGTAGAATTTCGTTTAACCAAAATTTTATGATTTTAATGGAGCAAATGCACTTTTGGAGATGCTCGTGACAAATAAGTTGCAAGAAATATTATTACCTTGTTTCAAAAAGCTGCTCCTACTATATTTTTGACAATGAGAAGTGGAACCAAGTGGAAGAAAAGCTTCGACGAGAATTTGTCATCAGAAATCGGGACAAGGAGGACTATGTGACCACCAGTTGATTGACGGGGGCCACTAGCTCTGTTTCAACCAATGAAAATTTTGCATCATAGGGCTATGCCAACTTCGGATGAGTGTGTACCAATAGAATGAAATAGGTTGACAAATTCTTTTTCTTTTTAGTGAGTTACAAAAAAATTCATAGCTTTGGTTGGATGAATTGAATCTATTTTAGCTACTAGAAATGAAAATGACTAAGAAACACTGCAATATGAAAGTCCTCCAAAATACACCACAGAGAAGGCATGATAGAAACAGTAGCTCAATGAGATTTTCACATGGGATGCGGAATCTCCCGAAATAGAAAGATGTGCTTATCAATGTAATGTCCCATAGATCTGTTGGCCCCAGCAATAACCACTATAATAGCGGTAATCTACGCAATGTAGTTCATAATCGTGTGGCAATATTAACGATAATGGATTACGACCCTTGACTTCACACCTCAAAACGAGGCCGACAACAATATGTGAAAGGAATATCCCGCGCAACTTATTTGCCAGGAATCTCCCGAAGTGCACTTTGCTTCATCAAAATCATATAAGTTAGGTTTAATGGAATTCCACAAAGTTTTCTTTTTTGTAATTCCCGCTGACATTATCGGTTAGATCAGTTTATCACAATTTTTTGCAAAACTATGTGAAGTGCTAGTGAAAGTTTACCCTGTTTTCAACTTTCATCACCGAATTTGTGTGATTCTAAAAAAAGAAGCGATAGAAAGAACGTTGTGCAAACTGCGCTTTCATTTGCGCCATTTTCTTTATTCCCCACAACTGTCTTTTTTCTTGGATGGCAAGCGCCAGCACTTTAGTGACTAGGTAAGCTGTTCTAGCAGCTAGGATTTAGTGTATCGTTAGGTACCCGCTGTTGAAGTAACCAAGGGGCGTGGCTTAGTGTATACCACTGATGGTTGGGTATCTAACGCCCACACCTCGGCTGGGTACCTAACGCCACGCACCCAAATTTCTAGTATGCGAAAACAATTGTCTTCATTTAGAATTTCCAAAATTTTTTCCTAAATACAGCCAAAAGAATTTCCCCGTAACAAGTTGTAGCCAAAAGCATATTCTATCATACTGCACATTTGCCTAGTGAAAGGAACAGTCATCGGTAGGCTTGGGACAAATTTCATCACGACCCTGCGTGCCACGGCAGGCGGATTCGCTATCCTATCCAGCTATACGTTTATTCGAATGGTCGAATATTCGATCAATTCGAATTTTGATGTGCCCATGTTCGAATATTCGAGTTCGAGTAATATAAAAATCGGAAATGGAATAATATTCCTTTGTTCGAAAAATTTTTGAAAATCACATTCAATGAAAATCTCCATTTGTTACATCTATAATGCGCACTAAAACATTGACCTACAGGCTTTTTAAATTCGTTTGCCCACCGCGTCGCTTTGAACACTAACGCGCGGGGCAACTATAAACATTGGGTCCCGAAGCGCTATAGTCTTGTTGCAGGCGACAATGAGGAGCGCCCACTGCTTTCATATGTATTTATGTGAGTACTTTACATTACTGAAAACGATATGGAAGTTGACGAAGAATTTCTACAAAAATAGTGAGCGCCTACCCTCGTACGCGGCGACCGCTCGCATACGCTGGTGTTCATGGCAAGGCGCGCTCAATTAGGTTTTACAAGACCTACACTAATGTTACGAACGGTATGCATGATAAAGAGGCCCTAGCACGCATAATGATTATCGATTTCTTGATTAGCATGTCAATTAACTCCGTGTGGACCATTTAAATTCAACTTCTGAAGTTTTCAAATGTCAAGCCACCCACGTGAAATGGCCGTTTTGAACACGATTTACTTTGTTTTATAGGTGAAAAGCTACGTCTTTTTGCACACTCAATACAACATACTACTCATCTTCTACCCATGCATATTAGGAAATCCACCACGTCACC